AAATATTCATAACAAAATGAAAATTTGCTGTGAGCTTGGAAAAAAAATGTATATAATTTTATATAGAAATCCACATATCTAAAATAAATCAAAAACAATTTTATTGACTGGAAAAATGAATCAAATAAACAGGAATTAGTTTAGAAAACTATTTTTTTATTGTTCCTATTAAAACTTTATTTATGTCTAATGAATTGCTTCTTGTAAGTAATGGAAGTTGTCCCTTGACAACTGACTTAATTATGAATTGTTATGTTACTTATCTTTTTGCAGCTGGTTGTTTCAAATACCTAGGAACAGAATGGAAGACAACAACTCTTACAATTATGTAAAGTCCACCATACAGGACTTGAGTTTCTCTTATTTAGCCCGTGGAAAATTAATGCAAAAATCAATTGATTCCCCCATCAATACTAACAACATAAGTGGGTGAATCTCCATTGCTGGCTACTGTGTTCAGGCAGCTGCAACAAACATGGCTGCCAGAATACAATAGCGCTGCCAAAAAAGGTCTGCATTTGATAGGATGCAGTAAATGTTTTGGCCAATAATTTTTCACCTGGCTTAGTTGATCTGTGTGGTGCTTGCAGGGCCACCTATGACTCTAATTTCAATCACTTCTACAGGAATTAGTTGAAATTTTAGTTGTCCACAGGGTCCTTTAGTGCATGCTTTTGCAAAATAAAAAAAGTACAAATTGTATTAATTTTTTACAAATTTTATATTTTTAAAATGCACAGAAAAATAACCAGTTCATCTGCAAGAAATTCAGTGTGATCCTAACTTCCTATTTGAATTGACAACACTGCTTCAAATAAATCTCCTGCAGTATTGCCAGTCTATATTACTATTGGACTACAGACCCCCCGCTCCATCCTTCAGGGGGATGTGTTTTGTTGTCCTGCAGGGGAGGCCCTAAAGCAGAACCAATAAACACTGCTTAGCATTTCAGTGCAGAAGATGCTCAGTTTAATCACCTCAAACAGCAAGCAAATGAGCTCATAGAATCACTGGTAGATCAACAGGTAAGTTTCTGTACCTGCAGCATTTTACAGAGACAAACATCGGGAAATGTGTATGTATTCCAGAGATGAATTGAAGTGTGCTTTTAGATTACCATGTGAAAAAAAAGGAAAGAAGAAGCCTGAAATAATACAGTATATGCAATCACCACATCTTAGGACTTGCTAGCTGACATACCAGGGTGTTTTTTTCTCAGACAGTAGAATCAGGTACTCCCCCAATTTTCAAGCCACTCCTTGTCTTCGACCCCTACCCATCTCCGAGCAGTGTGCCTTCAATTGACCCTCTAATCACCTACCAAGTATCATTTTGTGGTGCTAAGTAAATTGTAGAGAATTTGATAGCAAGAATAACAGTAAAAATATCAAAACTGTAATATAATTTGAGCTGTGCTTCCTAAAAAATAACAATTAGGGGTGACCTCATTACTCAGCTATTATCTGCCTGCTAAATGCTGCTACGGCTTCTAGGATCAGAATAAATTTGTTGTTTTGAGTGTGTCTGATCAAAACATAAACATTAGAAAGTTTATAGATTTTCACTGCAGATATTTAGTTTGCTTTTTTTGTCAAAATTAACGATTACTATGCTCACTAGTTTGCAGTTAAAATGGTTCTAAACCTCTGAAACATGAACAAAGCATATACTTCTATAGTATGTATATGCCTTGATCCAAAACACCTAGTGTGCTATCTGTCCCCCTCTATCATTCCTCTGCTATCTGTATATAGTTACATAGTTAGTCTCGCTGAAAAAAAAACAAAAGTCCATTCAGTTCAACCATAAAAAAAAAGTTATAATCCTACACCCACAGTTGATCCAGAGGAAGGCAAAAACACCAGCAAAGCACAATTCAATTTGCTCCTGAAGGGGAAAAAAAAATGCCTTTCTGATCCCTCGAGATCATTGAATATTCCCTGGATCATTAACTTCCCTGGATGGTTATATTCTGTGTATCCAAGAAAGAATCCAGGTCTTTTTTTAAAGCAATCCAATGAGCTGGCCAGAACCAGCTCTTGAGGGAGTCTATTCCATATTTTCACAGCTCTTACTGTGAAGAAACCCTTCTGTGTTTGGAGATTAAAATTATTTTCCTGCATATATAAAGAGTGCTCCCTTGTCCTCTGTGATGACCTCAAGGTGAAATAACTCTACACTGAGTTCACTATATGAACCACTGATGTATTTATACATGTTGATCTTATCCCCCTTAATCTCCTCTTCTCAAGAGAGAATAGATTCAGTTCCTCTAATCTTTCCTCATAGCTGAGCTCCTCCATGCCTCTTATCAGTTTGGTTGCCCTTCTCTGTACTTTCTCCAGTTCCCCAATGTTCTTTTTGTGAATTGGTGCCCAAAATTGATCTGCATATTCAAGATGAGGTCTTACTAATGATTTGTACAGGGGTAAAATGATATCTCTCTCTCTGGAGTCTATACCTCTTTTAATTCAAGAGAGGATTTTGCTCGCTTTAGAAACCGCAGCTTGGCATTGCATTTCATTATTAAATCTTGTGATCTACCAGAACCCCCAGATCCTTCTCCACCATTGATTCCCCCAGTTGTACCCCCCCTAATATGTATGATGCATGCATATTCTTAGCCTCCAAGTGCATCACCTTACATTTATCAACATTAAACCTCATTTGCCACATAGTTGCCCAATTAAACAGTGCATTGAGGCCGGCTTGTAAGTTGGAGACAAGCTGTAGGAACGTTATTCCACTGCACAGCTTGGGGTCATCTGCAAAGACTGAAATGGGATTTTTAATCCCATCTCATCTGCATGAGTCTATGCTGACAACAAACAATCCTGAGAGATGGTCTCAACCCCTCTAACACAGCAGGTGAATTACAGCCTCAGCTGTGCATGCTTCCCTATGAGATTCTGTAGAGGGGATGTGTCCTTTCACTCCACTCAGGTCTCGGATTACACTTAGCTCTTTTGTCTGTGATATGCAGTGTGTGACTTCAGATCCCTACTTCTGGAAGCTCAGCAATGCTGTGTATAATGTATGATTTAGGAGGCTGCAGATCAACAGATACAACCTATGTAGAAGGATTTGTTTGATTTGTAAAAATTGGTAGTATAATTTTGGTCCAGAGTAGGAAGCTTAGTTTCTGTTATCAACTCAAGAACAATCCTTTCCCAGGTCCTTCAGGACAATGTTCTGTGTCTAGGCAGCTTTAGACTTTTCTGTCTTTACAGCTTGGACCGAAATAAAGAAGAACTCAACATCTAAGCCAGCCTTTCTCAATCTTTTTATCCCAGAGAAACCCTTGAAATAATTTGCAGGTCTGAAGGAGCCCTTGTCAAAATTAAAGGACAAATTCACCGTTTTGTAAAAATAATAAATGCACATTTTTTTGCAGGTAAAAAAAATGTGCATTTATTATTTTTGTCTGCAGGATCTTGTAAAGCATTGCACCAATGATCAGCAGATCACTGGTGCCATGCAGGTCTCCTGCAAATCTGTCAGTATACTTGCTTGCTGGTACGGGATGCACCAGCAAGCAGATATACTGACAGTAAGAATGAATAAACTGCCACGGCACTCCACAGCACCATGGACGTTCATTGAGAACTACAAGCTGACAGCTGCTGAGGCTGCCAGGACTTGTAGTCTCTCATTCTCAGAGGAATGCGAATGAGTAACGCGGGCCGGGCATTTTTAAAAAAAAACAGCTAGCAGGGAGGAGAAGATCCCCTCTATCTGTCAAAGCGAGGAGTGGGGGTGTGTGGGAGCCGATCCGAGCGTAACATGTTACACCCTGAATATGCAAGTAAAATGTTACGAAAGATGAACTTATCCTTTAATTCCTTGAGGGATCAGTGAAATGCCTTTGACAGCTAAAAAGATATGCCAAGTGGCATTGGATCAAGAATTATGCAGGCACCTTCAGATGGTAGGCTAGTCAACCATAGATCAAGGAATCACTAGCAACCTCTAGAGCAGTGGTTCTCAACCTTCCTAATGCCGTGACCCTTTAATACAGTTCCTCATGTTGTGGTGACCCCCAACCATAAAAATTATTTACCCAGTAATTATAATTCATGAATGTCGTTTTACCTCCAATACTGCTGCTTTCAACACAGTAGCTGCTTTTAACAGAGTAGCAGCTTTCAACACAGCAGCTGCTTTCTACACAATAGCTGCTCTTTACACATCAGAAATATGTGTTTTCTGATGGTCTTAGGGGACCCCTGTGAAAGGGTCGTTCGACCCCCAAAGGGTCGCGACCCACAGGTTGAGAACCACTGCTCTAGAGGAACCTTAGGGTTCCATGGAACCTTGGTTTGAGAATAGCTGATCTAAGCTCTTGCATCTAAACTGACCACGTACTCAGCACGATTTAAAATGAAATAGCTGCATTTACGGGGAAAAGAGAGAAAATGTTAGCTGAATATGCTAAAATATAAATTTTTTATGTAATCCCTTCCCTACAGGGCACTTACTGTATACCCCCTTCCTGCCCAGGCCAATTTCCAGCTTTCAGCGCTGTTGCACTTTGAATGACAATTGTATATGGTCATGCAACACTGTACCTATATGAAATTTTTATCATTTTTTTGTGACAGATAGAGCTTTATTTTGGTGGTATTTAATCACCTCAGGTTTTTTTTTTCTTAAACAAACCAAAAACCACTGAAAATTTTGAAAAAAAAAGTTTTTTTTTCTTTATTTTTTGTTATAAAATTTTGTAAATAAGTGATTTTTCTCCTTCACTGATGTGCGATAATCAGGCTGCACTGATGGGCACTGATAGGCTGCACTGATGGACACTGATAGTTGGCACTGATGAGGAGGCACTGGTAGGTGGCACTGATGGGCATTGACAGGCATCACTGATGGGCACTAAAAGGCAGCACTGACACATGGAACTGATATATGGCACTGATAGGCAGCACTGATAGGCGGCACTGACTGGCACTGTTAGGCAGCACTGGCTGGCACTGTTAGGCGGGCACTGACTGGCACTGTTAGGCGGCACTGACTGGCACTGATAGGCGGCATTGATACACACTGATTGGCAGCACTGACTGGCACTGATAGGTGGCACTGATTGGCAGGACTGATAGGTGGCACTGATTGGCATTGATAGGTGGCACTGACTGGCACTGATGGGTGACACTGAAATACAGCTCAGATGGGCACTGATATGTGGCATTGATGTGCACTGATAGGCACTGATATGTGGCACTGATGTGGCACTGGCACGAGGCACTGATGAGCACTGACATAAGGCACTGATGGACACTGACAGGTGGCACTGCTGGGGCTACACTGATCATCAGGGCACACTGATCATCAGTGTCCTGATGATCAGTGTACATGTCCCCTCCGCGGAAAGCTGATTACTGGCATTTCGCTGTTTACATGTGATCAGCTGTGATTGGACACAGCTGATCACATGACCGAGCTGACATCTTCGGCTCTTTCCATGATCGGTTATCTGCTGTGTCCGAGGGACACAGCGCACCGCCGATCGCCGCGCTGAGAGCTCCCTGAGCTGCGCATGCGCAGTGAGAATGGGAGGACGTCTTATGATGTCCTCCCAGAACGAGAGAGCCACCTTGCGCCCATCATATTACTATATGGCGGGCGGGAGGTGGTTAAGGCCTTATTTACACATGGCTGAGCTGATTTTTTCAGGCCTCAAACCACTCATCCATAAAGTTGTAGTAAAGTCTGCCTTATGATTTGTAGCTACAGGCAGGGCTGGTGCTAGACTATTTTGTACCCTAGGCAAGACCAGCTACTTGCACCCCCCCCCCCCCAAAAAAAAATGAAACTTCAAAAAATTTAAAAACCTGTCTTTTCAATCATGGATGCTCAGCATCACATGTCGGCTTTACCTATACAGCCTAAGAACGCCCACTCCTCCAGACTGACATCCACCCATCAATTTGAGATTTGCATAACTCCTTCCAAAAGCCAGCCCACTGCTTACATCAGGGCTGAAGGCTCAGCATATTGTGTAAGATTTAATCCAAAGTCCCAGCACTGCCAGGCAAAAGTACTAACCGCATGGCGACCATTACCTGTCATTTCTATAAATAAATATATATATATATATATATATATATGCAATATAACATTCTATAAATCATTATACAAATATATATTCATATTAATTACAATATATTTAAATAATAATATATATATTCGTAATATATGGCAGATTAAATATGTTTCCCAGAAAAGCTTAATGGGGATTGCTGGGACTTGTAGTTCTCCATCCTCCATGGCACACGTGTCCCTCCAGTCTCTGACTCCCCCCCCCCAGCTCGCTGACATTTTCAAAAAAGTTACTTTGTATCAGCTGCTGTCAGTAAATGGGTGGGGTAGGTCTCAGGGAGCTCTGTAAATGGGCGGGGCAGGGTCCGGACTGTGCTGTGTGTGGAAGGTGCACTGCAGGCGGTACATTACAGAAGTGAGGTGCTATCAAATATTACGGTGAGGATACGTGTCAGCGTGGAGCTCAGGTCGGAGGCTTGGCAGTGTTTGCGGTGAATGTGTTTCGTGAACAGCTGGCACTGAATGAGGCTCAAAGTGACCAGAATAGAAGAGCCAAGCTCACGCAGTCAGTACATGCCTGAGGTTCACTGGGAACTCTGCACTAGGGAAACCATTGGCCATGGCTGTGCCCTAGGCGGCTGCCTAGTTTGCCTAGTTGTAGCTCCGGCTCTGGCTACAAGTAAGCCTTACCTGTATTTACAGTAAATATATACTAAACATGTACTGTTTAGGAGATATTTACATTTGTAGTGGCCAGTGATGATCACCAGCGCATGTGCACTGCATTTTGAATGGATGGCATGCCTAGAAGAAAGGTCATCTCTACTCAGGCATTCAAACACCTGGAGTTCATAAAACTGGAATGAAGACCAGGTGAAGATAGAAGTGCTGATAGTGGTAACAGCATGGACTGGAAGGAAGACTGTGGTGGTGTATACTTTATGTGGTGTATACTAACACATTATAAGTTACACCACTTGGAGGTCCAATTTTTTTTTTTTTAAACTTTACTACCTCTTTAGGGAGAGGATAGGGGTGTACAGAAAAATGCATCTCTACTGTCATGTTCGGTGTGAGGTACTTCAAATTAATGGGGCCGTGTCCCAGCTACATGCAATGCACACAGGAGTGGAGTTGAGTGGTGATGGGTGTGGGTTTTGGGGGGCAACATATTGCCTCCTCACCGCCTGTCAAATGACCTCTAAATTGTACCACTGTGGATCACACTTCAGATGGCGACACAAGTGCAAACAAGAACGTTAAAAACCTTTTTCTTTGTTTTTTCTATCCACTGTTCACAAGACACAATGCATGCTTATGTGTGTGCACATCCTTTTGGTTTTTACGCATCTGCTTGCTTTATTTGATTAAGTATTCATCTTCTGGAATCCCAGTCTTCCTAAATTCTGGAATTGACACAAGGGTTAAACTAAAGTCTGCATAGAAGAGGATCCCCACTTCTGTGGGATTACCTATTGACTGAAGGATATAGATACTGATCTTTACCACAGATACCAGAAATGCTCATGTTGACTCCAAATGTAGATTAAAAGGATAGAATTGTTGAAAAAAACAGCAGACCTAAGCACCAGAGTAATAATAACCAACCAGGACAGGGAAGACAGTATAATCTGACAGGGAGAAATGATGTCTACAGAGACAATAAACGTAGGTCATATTACTTTTTCTTTAACATGCTGTCAGTGCCAATTTCCCCTAAATTCCAGGGATATGTTGTATTGTACAGAATCTCAGAGCTTGTTATTTTTGTCAATACAAAAAATTAGAAATGGCTGCATGGCAAAACATACATTTACTGCCGTTTTCAGTATATACACTCGCCTGCTTTGTGTGTCCCTAGAAACCAGAAATGCAGTCAGCTATAAAGATTATTATAACAAGAAAACCCCCAGGGCTTTATTTAATAACAATGTTTTGTAGTGACCTACAGCAACCAATCATAGATCAGCTTTTATTAGTGTGCCTATACTAAGCTGCTAAAATGAAATTAGTTGCTCATCTTTGTTATTTGCTTTCTGTTATTAAATAAACTTCTCTGACTTTCATTTATGTTTTGATGAAAAACAGATCGAAATAGGCCTATGGAAGTCTCTAGAAAGATTACCTGGCCAAACATTATATAAAGAATGATAATTTGCTAGAAAGAGTTTCTACTTAAAATGAGTTGAACCATTGCTCGGGGGATGACTCTGTTAGTGAAAGTAGAAGGAGGTTTAGCAAGTCAGAACTGAGAGATTTGATTGGTCCATCCTCAAACCATGATTTATGATGCTATATAAGAGAAAGGAACCAGTGACAGCTCCCCTAATAAGATGAGGAACTCAGGGACATCTTCTACAGAAAGGTTAGCCATGCATGCAAAACCTAGAGAAAGACAATTCTCTTTCTTTTTGTCCCTACAGATACTACACATTTCATTAAAAGCTGGCAACATCAAGAAAAATCAATTGCAAATGACTTCTCGCCTTAAGGCCCGAGGTGAGCATAGTAGCCTGTGGACAGGGAGCACCATGGGATATCAGACTTTTCGATGTAAAAGACTGCTCTGTCACAAGCATTCAATAAATCAGCACTCCAAACACTAAGACGCGCATCTGCCTCTCGCCGAGCTCAGGCCCGTTGCTCTCAAGCTGTGAAACCACATCTTTAATCTGCAGTCTCACATGAAAGACTGGAAGTAAAGTCTGGGAAGTGACTTTGTGGCTTGTAAGATAAGCACCACGGGTTCCAAAAATAGCCAAGAACACGATTTAAGAGATTTGAGATACAGTCTCACTTCACCGTAATTAATCACTTTCCATGTATATTGTAGTTCTAAGTAAATAATCAACAAACAAGAGTGGTGTGAAAAAAATACTCAGTTAATTATTTCAGACACAAAAAAAGATTTTAACCACTCGCCGTCCAGAGGATTTACCCCCCCCCCCCCCCCCTTCCTGACCAGGCCATTTTTTGTTGTTTGGCGCTGTGCTATTTCAACTGGTAATTACACGGTCGTGCAATGCTGTACCCAAACAAAATGTATGTCCTTTTTTTCCACACAAATAGAGCTTTTTTTTAATGGTATTTGATCGCCTCTGTGGTTTTTATTTTTTGCGCTATAAACAAAAAAAGACCAAAAATTTTGAAAAAAATACAATATTTTTCACTTCTGGTTATAAAAAATATCCAATGAACTCAAGGTTAGTCATACATTTAGTCTAAAATGTATTCTGCTATATGTCTTTGGTAAAAAAAAAATCTCAATACATGCATATTAATTGGTTTGTGTGAAAGTTATAGCATCTACAAACTATGGTATGTACTGTATATTGGAATTTACAAAACTTTCCTAACTGCCTATCACCTTCTTGAGGTACTAAAATGTCAGGGCAGTACAATACACCCCCCCCCCCAAAGGACCACTTTTTGGAAAGTAGACACCCAAAGGATTTTACAGAGAAGCATGTTGAGTCCATGGAACCTTTTATTTTTTGCCACAAATTTTTTGAATATGACAATTTTTTTTCTTTTTTACACAAAGTTGTTACTTTAATGATATATTGCTCATGCATGCCATGGGTATATGTGGAATAAACCCCCAAAACACACTTCTTCCGAGTATGGGGATACCACATGTGAGAGACTTTTTGGCAGCCTAGTTACATACAAGCCCCCAAAATCCAATAACCACCTACAGGCTTTGAAAGGGCATATTTCCTCATATCACTTCCCCACTACCAATCACAGTTTCGGAGGCTCTAAAATGCCAGGATAGTACACCCCCCCAAATGACCCCTTTTTGGAAAGTAGGCACCCCAAGGAATTTGATGAGGCATGGTGAGTATTTTACAGATATAATTTTTGTCACAGGTTTTTGAAAAAGAAATAAAAAAAATAAATTTTTTGCTTTCTTTCATCATTTTCCAATAACATGTGGCAACAAATGAGATCTGCAAAACACTCACCATGCCTCGTAGCAAATACCTTGGAGTTTCTACTTTCCAAAACAGGGTCATTTGGAGGGGTTGCTTCTACTATCCTGGCATTTCAGGGCCAACATTAGAAGCTTATGCCACACATCACCCACTCCTGAAGACCAAGCCTTTTCTGACACTTTTTGTTCCCATGAAAAAACTGTTTTTTTGCTAGAAAATTACTTTCAACCCCCAAACATTATATTTTTTTTAAAAGCAGAGGCCATAGAGAAGAAATCGGTATTTGCACAGTGATTTTTCAAAAGCAAATCTTTTGGGATAAATACACTTTTTAGAATTTTAATGCACAAAAACACAATATATTGCCCAATTGTTTGATAAAATTTATAAGATGATGTTACACTGAGTAAATAGATATAAAAAATTACATGCTTTAAAATTGCGCATGCT